GTGTCTTAGTACGTGTGGGAGGAAACCGGAGTACCCGGAGAAAACCCACGTAATCGGGCAGGTGACCCCAACCTTTTCACGTCCGATTGGGGAATCGAACCCCGGCCGCCTTGGTGAAAGGCAAGTTCCCTATCAACTGCATCACCCGACCACCCAGAATTTACTTGAAAAAAGAGAAGCACATTTCGGCCCAATTGGACGGGGCGTTTGCAGTACCGCGCTGTTTGTCGATGCAGAGACGTATGGCAATCTAATTCCGTGATAGGTCTATTATATATGTATATTCCCAATGCCTGAACAATCATCCTCGATATTCAGGGGTTATGTTCACTTTCGCTCTCATACGTCTTTGGTCTATATTCCTTCTTTTTTTTGCCTGTTAACTTGAGCAAGACTAAAATGTCTTTTTAATACCACAATTTCTACGCACTCATATATTCTTAAAAGCATAGATAATCTACTTTTCTACTGCAGCATTTTTTCAGCATAGTAAACCGAACCAATATAAATTGAATGTTACGCTCACTTTCGCTCTCTACACCCCTGGAATGATTGGTCTCAGGCTGATACCTGTCCTTTGAAGATTACAAAGGAGAGACGCCCGACTTTAAAGCCTAGCTGTCACTTTTTTACCGTTTCGTGACTGCGATATTCTTTTGATATACATCAAATGATCGAACTAGTCTTCTCGTGAACACTGAGCTTTCGATTTTGCGGATGTAGAGAGCGAAAGTGAGCGTCACCCTTGGATATCGAGGATGTGGTCAGAGTTACGGAACTATTTCCGCTAATTACGAACTACCTTCGAATACAACACCGCCGATTGGCTGCCTATATTTATCCATTGTTTCTCTGACGCCATTTCGCGCGCTGGTAATACCCTTTTACACAAGCATCCTGATACTTTGCAGAACTGAATAATTTATTTTCCAGCGGCTGTGCTTTTTCGAAATCTTAGGAAATATGATGAACTTATTAAATGAATGATAAATGATAAATGAGTTAAATAGCCTAGTTATTTTCGGATCCCATCCAGCTCGTCAATTGATCTAACTCCCCACTTTCTCACTTTTTTTTCTGAATGAAAACGGTTCTTATACATATGTAACTTACGTTATATTTCACTTTCATACCTATATGTGTATAAGGATGTCAGTGACCTCACTTTGTTTGTAAATTACCGTGCCCTTACTATCGCTGTTATCAAATTTATTCGGTAATTTTCAAACTCAGTCAGTTCTCTAAGTGCAATTTTTATTATCAAAATGTAGCGACAGCCCGAACATCTACATTGATAACGCATGCGTACGAAAAGATTACAGAACTACTTGCCATATGTTGCACTTTTTATGTTCTGCTAACGCTAAGAAGATTTAACTTAGTTTAAACATATTTATTGCCAAAATTAGACAAGGGATTAGGCACAAGTTATAACAACTTATCAACGCCTTCTCCCAATATACATTTGAAATGACATTACAATAATGACAATAAATATATACAATTGTTATTACAATTTGAACTCAAGATCTCTTGCTGGATTTAATAAAGTTTTGCACAGATCTAAAAATGTTTGAGTTAAGGTCCACGGAAAATTATGAATTGCCAAACAAAAGAATTTCTAAATATAACGCAACATTCAAATTAATCAAATTTTGAACCAAAATACGTCTTTCGTTTGTAAAAAGTTGGCATTCCATAAAATAGTGAATGACATTCTCACAAGGATGACCACAATTACAAGATGCACTCTCAACAAGGTTAACTCTAAAAAGGTCATAATTAAGGGAACTGCACTGGTGTCGGAGCTTAGTATGCAAGATATTAAGTTTACGATTTCCGATTTTAAAGTAAATAGGTGGACTTGACTGAATATTTGATGTAAAACAGGATTTGAATGAATTAATAGAGGGTAGGGATCGAACCGAATTGTTTAAGCTATTCCAATAGTAAAGAGAAGAAGGTAGAAAAGAAGAATTAGTAAGAGATAATCTGAAAGGAGGAATCCTATAGTTATTATTGTTACGTAAAGCGTAACGATTATTTTCTCCAGATAAAGGCGGCAAAAGATGATTGAAGTAATCAGGAGTTAATTTATTATGCATCTTATACAATAGTTGAAGATTCCTGATTAGATAAAGTTTCAAGACTAGTTTCGTAATATAAAGTATTAATAGGAGTATATGAAGGAAGTCCTAATATAATGCGAGCAGCTTCACGTTGGGCTTTTTCTAACTTTTCAGATTAAAAAATAGTGCAACCGTCTCACAACTCACAAGCATATTCTAAAACAGGTAAAATAAAAGTCTTGTAAATTATTAAAAGAGCATCCCTACTTAATAAGAGTTTCAGTTTCTGTAAGACATTAATTATTTTCATAACAGAAGTGTAAATTCCATTTACATGATACCCCCTCTTTGCATTCAAATTAAAAGTTACCCCTAAATGTTTATGACAATCTGTAAAATTTAAGACTTTCCCATCAATTTCTAAATCTAAGTCTTCTTCGATATCGATTGAATTCGAAATAAACAATACATCTGTTTTATTCAGGATTAAAATTAACCAACCAGGTTTTTGACCAAGTATTTAAGATCTCTAGGTCTCTATTTAAAGTTTCTTGAATTTCTAGATGAAGATGAAGATGACTTAAGTAATGATGTATTGTCTGCAAAAAGACGAGACGTTGATTCAAAAATATCTGCTGTCATTAATAAATATAAGAAATAAAAGTGGGCCAAGAATAGAGCCTTGTGGAACCCCTGCCTCAATTAGACCTACAGAAGAATATGAACTGTTTAAAAATGCCTTTTGGTGTCTCTGAGACAAATAATCTTTTAACCACATAAGCAATTCACCTGAAATCCCGTACGATTTTAACTTCACTACAAGACCTCTATGCCAAACCCTATCAAAAGCTTTGGATATGTCACAGAATACAACACACGTATGTTTTTTTTTCTTCAAGTGCAATACAAATGGTGATATTTATCAATGAGTTGATACACTGTAGAATGACCATGCATAAAACCAGACTGTTATTTGTAAAACAAAGAATTTTCTATAAAGTAGTTGTACAAATGTTTAAAAATCACTCTTTCACAAACTTTACCAACAGTGGACAGCAAGGAAATTGGTCTATAATTCGAAGGAGAATGTCTGTCACCCTTTTTAAACAATGGCATGATATTAGCTAATTTCCATTTATTTGGATAAATCCCTGTTGATAAGGACATATTGAATATTATTTCGAGCGGAGTACAAATAGTGCGAGCAGTATTTCTTAGCATATTGTTGCTGATTCCATCCCCACCCGAGGCACATCGCGTATTTCAGTTGAATGTAATCTAATTGAACTAATATTTTTGTCAGTTTTTGGCTCCATAATCGGGACATCCGTGTTACTGTCATCTACTCCAGTAATACTACAAAAATAGTTATTTAATAATTCAGCTTTATCTTCATCTCTAGTAACTATGTCATCAGTAATAGGATCGACTAAGGGAGGTATAGGTTGTGAAGCATCAGACGTTTTAATTAACCTTTTAATTAATTTCCAATAAGACTTAGGATCAGAAGATGAGTACCCATCAATAATATCATAAACATTTTCATAAAAAGTAACACGTGCATGCGTTTTCATATTATTTACTTTGTTTCGCTGTGATTTGAATTTATTGATATCTACCAAACGTTTGGTTGACCTCGCTTTTTTAT